GCATAGCACAATCTTAACAATCCCAGCCAGTAAATCAATTTTATTATCGATCGTGGCTTTAGTCGATTAAAAATATTCAAGGCGATGTTAACATGAACTTGATCGGAATGACCAATTTAATTACCCTCATCACCCCGAACTTTGTAATCAGCCATTTCCATTTCAATTAATCAAATATTGATTTTTCTGATTAGAAAAAACTTCAAAAGTTTTCTTACTTTCTCGAAATGATCAAAAAAATATATGGAGAAAAATATGATCGAACAATGACTTTAATCAGTGGAATAGCATCTAAATAAGCGTCCATATATATATATATATATATATATATATATAACACGCATATCTCACACATGTACATAATGAGCGTCTATATATATATATATATATATATATATATATATATATCAAGTGTAGGAGAACGAACAGTGGGTTACAGCGTTCTAAATAAGCGTCCATATATATATATATATATATATATATATATATATATATATATATATATATATACGCATATGTCACGCATGTACATAATAAGGCGTCCATATATATATATATATATATATATATAACACTCACATGTCACACAGGTACATAATGAGCGTCCATATATATATATATATATATATATATATATATCAACATGTAGGAGAGTATATAGGTCTATATATATATATATATATATATATATATATATATATATATATCTATATATGTATTACACGCATATGTCTCACATGTATATAATGAGCGTCCATATATATATATATATATATATATATATATATATATATATATACACTCACATTTCACACATGTACATAATGAGCGTCCATATATATATATATATATATATCAAAGTGTAGGAGAACGAACAGTGGGATTACAGCGTTCAAAACATTAATTTAAAAATAGTGCTCAATACACAATGCAGAGCCGTAAATATTTATTTATCTTATGCAGCGTTAAATTAGAACATGCACAATTCCACTACAAAATTGCACATTTTCGTTTCAACCTTAAAAAAAGTGGAAATCTTTTTTAGACGTCTCATCAGGTGGGGAATTACGGTGTTACTAAGAATTTTTATTCACAAATACAGTTATCGAAGCAAATATCCCCCATTTCCGTTCTTTGGAAATTTTCAGAAAATGTCTTCTAGAATTTACATGTAAAGATGGAAGTGAATCTAATTCATTATTAGTCGTGGGCAAACGAAAGGGAAAAAGAAAAATGGGGGAAGGTAAAAGAAAGAGGTTATGGGAAGAGTATGAGGTGATAAGCGCTAAGGGGAGATAAAATCTGGCCATAGAATTTCGTTAGAATGTAGAATTTGAACTTCAATGGATTCCTTGGTTGGTTAGGCAGGTGTTTCAAGTAAAAACTAATTTCCAGCTAGAGACAGTTAAAGTAAATGTTAGAATGTCTGTTTGTTTTTTTTTGTATTTTTTTATCCTTCATATTTTTGGATAAAACATTGTCAAGAAGAAAAATAATTCCAGTAATATGATTTTTTTATTTTTCGAGAGAAATTGGTGGTAAATTCCATATAAAAATAAAACTAAATTAGTACTAACTTTCCATTTCTATTAACATAAATTGTAAAAGCGGGTCGATACCATTGTATGTGGGAAGGTAGTCATTAACAAATAAAAATAATCATGACGACCGTGAGCTTGGACCGAAACCCAATCACTGTAGCGTTAGCCGAAATCTCTACCACTTACGCTATCGAGACAGCATTACTACGCAAGTGTAATTCTATGTCTATTGTTTTTACTTATGTAAACGGACCTTATAATTTTTCAATTTTTCAAATTTTTTCTTAGTTTCTGTTTTTTTTGACATTGAAACAAAAATGTACAATTTTGTAGTGGATATGTGCATATTCTAAGGTAACACTGCATAAGATATATATATATATATATATATATATATATATATATATATATATATATATATATATATATATATATATTAAGCAAATATATGGATATAGATCCGACAGTAAAAAAAATATATACGGAAATAACAAACAAAAAATATATACAATTATACTGTTTTAATGTTGACATAAAAAAAACTTATTAATTAAAACAGCATAATTGTATATGATTTTTGTTTTTTCCGTATATTTTTCTTCATATATATATATATATATATATATATATATATATATATATATATAAACATCGCATATACAAGGAGCGATGGATAAATTGTCGTCTAATGTTCGCAAAAATGAAAATAAGACTGGTATCTCATTTTACCAGATATATTTACCAAATTTAATCAAAACTATATTGAAATACTAAAGTGTAAATTTATTTAATAAAATCGCCATTGTTTTCATCCACGGCCTCCAGCCGACTTCGGAATCTCCTGTAACTCTTCTGGACGGTCTCCTCGATTAAGTTGGTGAATGCTGCCTTGATCTTTTGTGTTATAAGCAGTTTCCTTGGCCTCTCACTCAACTCCGCCCCACACATAATCAAGGGAGTTGCAGTCTGGAGAGATATGTGGCCAGATGTAAGCGGCGATGTGATCGCAGTAATTGTTTGAGAACAATGACTGGATTCTCCTGCTTGTGTAGCAGGGTGCAGAGTCCATTTGCCAGACAGAGGGTTTCCAACAGACATTCTCTTGACCCAGGGTAGCACTACCTCCCAAAGGCATCTGATGTAGGTCTTTGTGCTGAGTCTGAGCCCCTGTGGAAAGATGAATGAAACCATAACACCGCCATTACTAGTGAGCACCCCAAACACCTTTGTCATCGACATTTAACGTATTATGAAATGTTAAAGTATTAGACATTAGATTATGTCAATTAACATCCTCGAAAAGTTTTTTTTTCTTTTCTTTCCTCTTTCATTTACCTTCTTTCTTTTTTTAAAGAATATTATTTGGTTTGGGTTACGAGATGGACATTTGTGTTATTTATTTTCAAAGGCTGAAATGATAGTTTGCGTTATGCATCTTCAAAGGCTGAAATGATAGTTTGTGTTATGCGTCTTCAAAGGCTGAAATGATAGTTTGTGTTATGCATCTTCAAAGGCTGAAATGATAGATTTTGTTATGCATCGTCAAAGGCTGAAATGATAGATTGTGCCATGCATCTTCAAAGGCTGAAATGATATTTTGTTTTTTGTGTTATGCATCTTCAAAGGCTGAAATGATTGATTGTACTATGCATCTTCAAAGGCTGAAATGATAGTTTGTGTTATGCATCGTCAAAGGCTGAAATGATAGATTGTGTTATGCATCTTCAAAGGCTGAAATCATAGTTTGTGCTATGCATCTTCAAAGGCTGAAATTATAGTGTGTGTTATGCATCGTCAAAGGCTGAAATGATAGATTTAGACGTTTTCTTTTGATTTTTCAATACATAAACATCTAAGTTAACCTGTAGAATATTTATGGGCGTATTTAAATTAAAGAGAAATTGAGTAATTGTCAAATAAATACTTGTTGCAAAGTAAATGCATCACATTTGCCTTGATAAAGTCTGACGAATGACGAAACCCGTCGCCTAAGACTAGATATAGTTTTCTTCATGTTATTTTTCATTCTGTCTCTTCTATAGCTACACTCATTCTGAGAATATTTACACACACACACAGGTACACACACAAATATATATATATATATATATATATATATATATATATATATATATATATATATATATATATAATTCAACTAGGCTTGGTTAAATAATTTCGACACACCATGTCGTTTAATTTTCGTTGTGACTCTTTTAAGTTCGTGGATTAATTTTTGTTAGATTTAGAAAATTGAGTAAGAAAATACCAAACTTTTTTTTTGAATAGATTTTATTTTCCCAAGTACTTTCAATCTCATCTGAGACCATCTTCAGGGGAATAAGTTGTCTGTGAGTATGTACATGTGTTTTTTTTTTATATATATATATATATATATATATATATATATATATATATATATATATATATATATCGTTGTGTTTTGGAGAAATCTCTCTTTTTTATAAAATGTATCTTTAGTGATGATTTTTTTTTTTATTTTCCAAAAACGATGGTGATTGACATAGCATTTAATTTTTTTTTGGAGGGGGGGTAGTTCATAGTTTACTGGAAAGCCAGAAACCAGAAGAGGGTTCCAAATCGATAAGTGCCATATAAGAAACTGTTAGCTTAAAACTTACGGTAACACGTAGCCATTTAAACTTTAAAATGATGAGACCTTGCTGCCAATCTAGTACTGCGCTTAAATTCATAAAGTCTTGGTGCCGTAGAGGAAAGTTCATCTGAAGAATTATGACACATGGAAGCTAAGTTACTACGGTGGGAAAGGAACTGAAACGGAGATGCCAGGTCAGGATCAATAACATATCGGATTCTTATATTATCAAGAATATTAAAATGTAAAGCAGGGTCACCAGCTCGGATATGACAGCATTATCAGAAGCATTTTAATTTAAAGACGCTCATAAATATTCAACAGGTTAACTTAAATGTGTATGTATTGAAAAATCAAAAGAAAACGTCTAAATCTATCATTTCAGCCTTTGAAAATGGTAGATTTATAAATAAATACTTAATAAAAATTAAGAGCAACTCCTTCATTTTATGTTGAAATAAATCTTACAGCAACAATAATTTACACATTTAGACCAAAATGGCGTTTTGTTTTGTGAAGTTCTTACAATTATTGAGGTTTACATATTTTTAAATATATTTTTCCAACTTTTAATCTTTACATTATCCATTCAAACGATAGCCCTTTCTAACAACAAAAGGCACTGTTTGCCGGCATTGCCAGTGCAAGGGAGATAAAGTAAGGCTTAAATGAAGTTGAACATCTGTTTTATAATAGGCAAAACTTAGTGTCTATTACGGAGCGAATGGCTCGTAATTTTGGCGACAGTGTCAGATGAGAAGCTTGAGGCTAGCGAGATATGAGGCACACCTGCTTCACCAACCGGAACTATGAAAAACACATTGACAATAACATAAAAAACCATGTTCCGGTTGGATGAAGAATTAGTATCTATTTGTAGGTTTAATCATTCTTTCATTAATTCCCATCTATCTATCTATCTATCTATCTATCTATCTATCTATCTATCTATCTATCTATCTCGGCCTGATCTATCTCATTCATCTATGATCATATCTATCTATCTATCTATCTCAAACTGTTATCTATCTATCTATTTATCTATCTATCTATCTATCTATCTATCTATCTTCTATTATCTATCTATTTTATCTCAGTCTCAGTTCATCTATCTATCTATCTATCTATCTGTTATCTATCTATCTATCTATCGTCTGTTTTATCTATCTATCTAATCTCAATTTGTTCATATCCATCATCTATCTATCTCAAACTGTTCATTATCTATCTATTTATCTATCTCAGTTCATATCATCTATCTAAATCGGTTCTATCTATCTATCTATCTATCTATCTATCTATCGTCTGTTTATATCAGCAATCTCAATCTATCTCTCTCTGATCATCTATCTATCTATCTATCTATCTATCTATCTAAATCTATCTATCTATCTATCTATCTATCTAAATCGGTTCTGATCATATCTATCTATCTATCTATCTATTCATCTATCTATCTATCTATCTATCTCCGTTCATATTTATATCTATCTAATTCTCACTATTAGTCCGTCATTTATATCTCCACCAAATCTAGTTCATATCTATCTATCTATCTATCTATCTATCTATCTATCTATCTATCTATCAACATCCTGTCTGATGCTATTAAGCAAATCTTATAAATGTCAGTAATTTAAATTTGGTTTGAAAAAAATGTCAAATTTCAAACTATCAATTTAGATGTCAAAACAAAACGTGAGTTAAAATTTAAGCAGTATCAATATGTTTTATTGAAGTTATTGAAATTATTTGATGTATTCTAAAAACTGTCGTGTGAAGTTATTGGTCAACACCCAATAATTACAGTTTACGTCAATAAAAAGGTAATAAAATCATCCAAAATTGATCGACACCAATAATAGACCAAATAACAATTACATATGATAAGTCTTTGAATCATCTTCATTTTAATATAGTGACCCTTCTTCTCAATAACAACCACTAATCTATTATCCATCGATATTGTTAATCCTTTTTACTTCAGCAGCTTCAATTTCCGACATGTCAGATTTAATTCCTTTTCATAGATCCGCTTTGCTGTTATTTTGTTTGCTACCTTCATATAATTTCATCTTCACAATTGACTAATGATTTTTGATCAGATTCAGAGCAGAACTTGATGGTGGCCATTCTATTATCTTCTCTCCTGTAAATCTTTTATGCTTAAAGAATTCACTAGTAAGCATAGATACGTGTGAAGAAGTATTGTCGTGCATAAATGCACATTTCACTAGGAAACTGCGAGACTGGGACTTGTAGTATGTGAAGAAAATTCTGTTATAAAATTGAAACTGTTCAGTTTAACTCCTTTGTAGACTTTGAATGGCCCAATGATGGTTTGGTTGGCAATTTCAGTCCATATCATAACACTACCTTCTCCTTGTTGCTTTCTTTTAGCCACAGGCATGTCTGAAGTTATTAGGCAAAATCAAATAATTACAGTTTACTTCAATAAAATGGTAATAAAATCATCAAAAATTGATCAACACATTTAATAGACCAAATAACAATTACATATGATAAGTCTTTGAATCATCTTCATTTTAATATAGTGACCCTTCTTCTCAATAACAACCACTAATCTATTATCCATCGATATTGTTAATTCTTTTTACTTCTGCAGCTTCAGTTTCCGACATGGCAGATTTAATTACTTTTCATAGGTCTTCTTTGCTGTTATTTTGCTTGCTACCTTCATATAATTTCATCTTCACAATTGACTATCGATTTTCGATTAGATTCAGATTAGGACTTGATGGTGGCCATTCCATTATCTTCTCTCCTGTAAATCTTTCTTGCTCAAATAATTCACGAGTAAGTTTAGCAGGTTCAATTTCCGACATTGTAGTTTTAATTACTCCCCATAGGTTTGCTTTGCTGTTATATTGTTTACAACTTCATATATTTTCATTTTCATAATTGACCATAGATTTTCCATCGGATTCAGATCAGGGCTTGATGGTGACCATTTCATTATCTTCTCTTCTGTAAATCCTTTATGCTTAAAGAATTCGCTGGTAAGCTTAAATACATATGAAGGAGCATCGTCGTGGATAAATATATACTTCACTTTAAAACTGCAAGACTGGAACTTATACCATGCAAAAAATTCATGTTCATAAAATCGTAACTGTTCAGTTTAACTCCTTCATCGACATTGAATGGTCTAATAATGGTTTGGTCAACAATTCCAGCTCATATCATAAGACTGCCTCCTCCTTGCTGCTTTCTTTTAGCCACAGGTGTGTCTAAATTGGATAAAATCCATCCTTTGGCCCATCCATCAGGTCCATCAAATATCACTCGAGATTTTAGAAAATTCCAATTTTGACGCTTTAAAGTATTTGCTTTAATGAGAGGAGATTGCCTAGGTGATTTTTCTTACAGATCCCAATTCTCAAAGTATTCTACAAATTGTGTCTTTCTTGATTCCTTCAATTCCAGCCTTTTCAAAGATCTGAGCGCTGGTCTAAAGTAGTTGTTTCACTATGAATCACTTTAGTTGACCTTCATCTCGAGAATGAAAGTCTTTTGTTTTTTCTACGAGTTCACAACGTACTTATATTTTCAACAGCCTTCTTTATCGTTCGATGATCTCTGCAAAGCTTCTTTCATATTTCCAATGTGGACATTTCCTCACTAATAACTTTGTTATTTTCTGTTTGTCAGCAGTTGTTAGACCCTTTACCCACGTTTCAACGTATATTATAGAAAAAAAAACTAATAGAATGCAAAGGTCTCAAGCAAATATTAGTTTAATCTGCATACTAACTTCAATCAGTCTATTTTCATAAATTCCCAATATCTAAAAACTAACCATTAAAAATGACAGAAAATTTATTTAAATATTTTACTAAAGGTGGAAATGGACGAGTTTAGATTTAAAAAATATTGGTTCAGAACTTTTGTTTTATTTGATACGCATAATAACATTAAATAGGCTTTCTGTTTTTATATATTACTGACTAACAGTAGAGCCCGGCGTTGCCCGGGGATGTAACAGTAAGAGATAGATCAAGTATCGACCATCATAAAGACTGAAAAATAAAATTGACAAAGATTATTGTTTAAGGTTGACAGACACGCATGTCTTAATTAGTTTTTTTGTTTTGTTTTGTTGTTTTACGAATTGGTCAAACCCAAACTCAAACAAAAACATTGTTTTCAATCGTTATGAATCTACCGACTGAATAGAATTTTATTGTAAAAAATTGTCTTGTAAATGGAATTTTTAAAGCATTCTGAATGTAAAAATAAAGAAAAAAGTGTGCAAGAAAATAAGAAACACTACCTGCCAAAAAAAGTTAAGTTTGTTGAAATCGGTTGAAAAATGTAGGAAATCCGATCCCATATATAAACGAACACACACACACACACACACACACACACACACACACACAGGCACAACCTGGGTTTTATAATAAGTATAACTCGATATGAGTTGTCCCCCTTTCATTCTCGCGATGCCTCTTAATCATGTTTTCAAATTGATTTTGTACAAAAACAATTGTTTTTCCAATGTCAGAACCACCGCAAGGTAATTTTACGTAGTCCTGTGAAGTTTTGTTGAAATCGGTTGAAAAATGTAGGAAATCCGATCCAATATATAAACGAACACACACACACACACACACACACATAACCTGGGTTTTATAATAAGTATGATTAATTTTTTTGTTTTTGCGTTCCTGAGCCACTTAAGACGGATTCAAAGCGACCAAATACGACTCATATTAATCTTACTATAGATATAAATGACATCATTTTCTTCATAGAATCTCGTTAAACAAAGTTGTTTTCGTCTCCTAGAGAAGTTCATTTTCAGTAGTATTTATGGAAAACTTCGTAGAGTTTTCCGGTCAAGTGTTATTCTACATATCCTCATAATCCTCGCTTCTCGCCAACAGACTTATTCGGTAACCCTCTACCTTGAGTTGTTCTTGGGCCTTGTATTGGGAAAACAATAGTAACCAAAAAAAAATAGATTTCGTTTATTTCACAAGAATTGCTTATCTGAGGGCGAACGGTTCAAAGAATCAACCCGTTGATAATGTTGTAGCCTTCTCTCATTATTTGCAGTTTACTTTCTTTCTTTCTTTTTTTCTTCTTTCTTTCTCTTTTTATTCTCTTGGTTTTTCTACATTTATTGTCTGTTTTCTTCATTTTTCATTTTCTTTTTTCCTTCTTTTTCTTCCTTTTACTTTCTATTTTCTGCGTTCTTTTTTCTTTCTTTCTCTTCCATTTTGTTTTTCTTTCTTTATTTCCCTTCGTTTTTTGCACTTTTTCGCACTTGCGTTCTTTTACTTGTCCTTTCTTTTTTTGCAATTCTTTCTTTCTTTCTTTCTTTCTTTCTTTCTCGTTGAACTTTTCTTTCTTTTCTCCTGATTCTTTCTTTCTTTCTTTCGTTCTTTCTTTCTTTTTTTCTTTCTTTCTTTCTTTCTTTCTTTCTTTTCTTTCTTTCTTTCTTTCTTTCTCGTTGAACTCTTCTTTCTTTTCTCCTGATTCTTTCTTTCTTTCTTTCTTTCTCGTTGAACTCTTCTTTCTTTTCTCCTGATTCTTTCTTTCTATCTTTCTTGTTTAACTTTTCTTTCTTTTCTCTTGATTCTTTCTTTCTTTCTTTCTTTCTTTCTTTCTTTCTTTCTTTTCTTTCTTTCATTCTTTCTATTTCTTTCTGTCTTTCATTTTTTCTTTTCTTTCTTTCTTCCTTTTCTTTTTTCTTCCTTTCTTTCTTTGTTTTCTTTCTTTCTTTCTTTTTGAACTCTTCTTTCTTTTCTCCTGATTCTTTCTTTCTTTCTTTCTTTCTTTCTTTCTTTCTTTCTTTCTTTCTTGTTGAACTCTTCTTTCTTTTCTCTTGAATCTTTTCTTTTCTTTCTTTCTTTCTTTCTTTCTTTCTTGTTGAACTCTTCTTTCTTTTCTCTTGAATCTTTCTTTCTTTCTTTCTTTCTTTCTTTCTTGTTGAACTCTTCTTTCTTTTCTCTTGAATCTTTCTTTCTTTCTTTCTTTCTTTCTCGTTGAACTCTTCTTTCTTTTCTTCTGATTCTTTCTTTCTTTCTTTTCTTTCTTTCTTTCTTTCTTTCTTTCTTTCTTTTTTTGTTGAACTCTTCTTTCTTTTCTCTTGAATCTTTCTTTCTTTCTTTCTTTTTTCTTTTCCTTCTTTCTCGTTGAACTCTTTTCTTTTTTTTTCTTTTCTTCTTTTTTTTCTTTTTTTCTTTCTTTTCTTTCTTTTCTTTCTTGTTGAACTTTTTCTTTTCTTTTCTCTTGAATCTTTTCTTTCTCTTCTTTCTTTCTTTCTTTTTCTTTTTTCTTTTTTTCTTTCTTGTTGAACTCTTCTTTTTTTCTTTTTTTTGAATTTTTCTTTTCTTTCTTTCTTTCTCAGAGAATTTTTCTTTCTTTCTCTTTGTTGAACTCTTTCTTTCTTTTCTCTTGAATCTTTCTTTGAATCTTTTTTCTTCTTTCTTTCTTTTCTTTCTTTCTTTCTTTCTTTTCTTGTTGAACTCTTTCTTTTTTTTTCTTTCTTGAATCTTTCTTTCTTTTTTCTTTCTTTCTTCTTTCTTTTCTTTCTCTTTCTTTCTCGTTTCTTTCTTTCTTTTTTTTTCTTTCTTTCTTTCTTTCTTTTCTTTTTTCTTTCTTTCTTTCTTTTTTTTTTCTTGAATCTTTTTTTTCTTTTTTCTTTCTTTTCTTTCTTTCTTTCTTTTCTTTCTTTCTTTCTCTTGAATCTTTCTTTCTTTCTTTTTTCTTTTCTTTTCTTTTCTTTCTTTCTCTTTCTTTCTTTTTTCTTTTTTTCTCTTTTTTTTTTTTTCTTTCTTTTTTCTTTTGAATCTTTCTTTCTTTCTTTCTTTTTTTCTTGAATCTTTCTTTCTTTCTTTTCTTTCTTTTCTTTCTCTTGAATCTTTCTTTCTTTCTTTTTCTTTTTTTCTTTTTTTTCTTTTTGACTTTCTTTCTTTTCCTTGAATCTTTCTTTTTCTTTCTTTTCTTTTTTCTTTCTTTCTTTTCTTCTTTCTTTTTTTCTCTTTCTTTCTTTTTCTTGAATCTTTCTTTCTTTTCTTTCTTTTTCTTTCTTTCTTTCTTTCTTTCTTTTCTTGGATCTTTCTTTCTTTCTTTTTTCTTGAATCTTTCTTTTTCTTTCTTTCTTTAATTTTTTTTTTTCTTTCTTCGAATCTTTTTTCTTGAATCTTTCTTTCTTTCTTTTTTTTGAATCTTTCTTTTCTTGAATCTTTCTTCTTTCTTTCTTTCTCTTTCTTTTTTCTTTTTCTTTTTTCTTTCTTTCTTTTCTTTCTTTTTTTTCTTTGAATCTTTCTTTCTTTGGATCTTTCTTTCTCTTTCTTTCTTTCTTTTCTTCTTTATTTTTTTTTCTCTTTACCTTTCTTTTTTTCTTTTCTTTTCTTTCTTTTCTTTTTTCTCTTCTTTCTTTCTTTTTTCTTTACTTTCTTTTCTTTATCTTTTCTTTCTCTTCTTTCTTTTTTTCTTTTTCATTTTCATCTTTTCTTTTTTTCTTTCTTTCTTTTTCTTTTCTTTCTTTCTTTTCTTTCTTTTCTTTCTTTCTTCTTTCTTCTCTTTTTTTCTTTTTCTTTTCTTTCTTTTTTGAATCTTTCTTTCTTTCTTTCTTTCTTTTCTTTCTTTTTTTTTAGACTTTTTCTTTCTTTTCTTGAATCTTTTTTTTTTTTTTTTCTTTTTTTTTCTTTACCATCTTTCTTTTCTTTCTTTCTTCTTCTTGAATCTTTCTTTTCTCTCTTTCTTTTTCTTTCTTTTCTTTTTCTTTTTTGGATTTTTCTTTTTCTTGAATCTTTTTTTCTTGGATCTTTCTTTCTTGAATCTTTTTTTTCTTTGGATCTTTCTTTTTTCTTTCTTGAATCTTTCTTTCTTTTCTTTCTTTTTTTTCTGCGTTTAGACGTTGATCTTTTTTTCTTGAATCTTTCTTTTTCTTTCTTTCTTTTTCTTTCTTTCTTTTTTTAGACGTTACCTTTCTCTTTTTAGATCTTTTCTTTTTCTTTCTTTTTTTTCTTGAATCTTTCTTTTTTTCTTTCTTTCTTTCTGCGTTTGACGTTTTCTTTTCTTTCTTTCTTTTCTCTTTCTTTCTTTCTTTTTTCTTTCTTTCTTTCTTTCTTTTCTTTCTTTCTTTCTTTCTTTTCTTTTTCTGCTTTCTTTCTTTCTTTCTTTCTCTTGAATCTTTCTTTCTTTTTTCTTTCTTTTTTCTCTTCTTTCTTTTTTTCTTTCTTTTTTTTTTTCTCTTGAATCTTTTTTTTCTTTTTCTTTCTTTCTTTCTTTCTTGTTGAATCTTTCTTTCTTTCTTTTGAATCTTTCTTTTTCTTGAATCTTTTTTTCTTTTTTCTTTCTTTTCTTTCTTTCGTTTCTTTCTTTCTTTTTTCTTGTTCTTTCTTTTTTTTTTTTTTTTAGACGTTCTTTTCTTTTTTTTCTTTCTTTCTTTCTTTTTTTCTTTCTTTCTTTTCTTTCTTTCTTTCTTTGAATCTTTCTTTTTTTCTTTTTTCTCTTGATCTTTCTTTCTTTCTTTCTTTTCTTTCTTTCTTTTTCTTTCTTTTCTTTTTTCTTTTCTTTTTTTCTCTTGAACTTTTTTCTCTTTCTTTTTTTCTTTCTTTCTTTCTCTTTCTTTCTTTTAGACGTTTCTTTTTTTTTTTCTTTTTCTTGGATCTTCTTTTTTTTCTTTTTTCTTTCTTTTTCTTTCTTTCTTTCCTTTGAATCTTTCTTTTCTTGAATCTTTCTTTCTCTTGAATCTTTCTTTTCTTGAATCTTTTTTTCTTTCTTTCTTTTTTTTTTTGAACTTTCTTTTCTTTCTTTCTTTTTTTTCTTCTTTCTTTCTTTCTTCTTTTGAATTTTTCTTTTTCTTCAATCTTTCTTTCTTCTTTTCTTTTTTTCTCTTAGATCTTTCTTTTTTCTTTCTTTTCTTTTCTTTCTTTTTTCTTTCTTTCTTTCTTTTGATCATCTTTCTTTCTTTTTTTTACCTTTTCTTTTTTCTTTCTTTCTTTCTTTCTTTCTTTTCTTTGCGTTTTTCTTTCTACCTTTCTCAATCTTTGAATTTTTCTTTCTTTTCTTTTTCTTTTTTTCTTTCTTTTTTCTTTCTTTTTTTTTGAATCTTTTCTTTCTTTCTCTTTCTTTCTTTTTCTTTCCATCTTTCGTTCTTTCTTTCTTTTCTCTTTCTTTCTTTCTTTCTTTTCTTTTTTTTTTTTTTTCTTTTTCTTTCTTTTCTTTCTTTCTTTCTTTTCTCTTGAATCTTTCTTTCTTTCTTTTTTTTCTTTCTTTTTCTTTCTTTCTTTTCTTTTTTTTCTTTTCTTTTCTTTTCCATCTTGAATTTTTCTTTTACCTTTCTTTTCTTTTTTTTTTCTTTCTTTCTTTCTTTTCTTTCTTTCTTTCTTTCTTTCTTTTTTTTCTTTCTTTCTTTCTTTTTTCTTTCTTTCTTTTGAATTTTTTTTTCTTGAATCTTTCTTTTCTTTTTTTTTTCTTTCTTTTCTTTCTTTTCTTTTCTTTTTGAATCTTTTCTTTCTTTGAATCTTTCTTTTCTTTTCTTTCTTTTCTTTCTTTTTTTTTTTTTTTTTTCTTTCTTTCTTGAATCTTTTTTCTTTTTCTTTCTTTCTTTTACCATCTTTTTTTTCTTACCTTTTCTTTCTTGAATCTTTTTTCTCTTTTTTTTTTTCTCTTTCTTTCTTTTTTTCTTGCGTTTTTCTTTCTTTCTTTCTTTCTTTCTTTTTCAATCTTTCTTTTCTTTCTTTCTTTCTTGAATCTTTCTTTCTTTCTTTTCTTTCTCTTCTTTCTTTCTTTTTCTTTTTTTCTTTCTTTCTTTTTTCTTTTTTGCCATCTTTTTTTCTTTCTTTCTCTTGAATCTTTCTTTCTTTCTTTCTTTTTTCTTTCTTTCTTTTCTTTTCTTTTTTACCTTTCTTTTTTTTCTTGAATCTTTCTTTTCTTTCTTTCTTTCTTTCTTTCTTTCTACCTTCTTTCGTTTTAGATCTTTCTTTTTCTTGAATCTTTTTTTTTTCTTTCTTTCTTTGAATCTTTCTTTCTTTTTTTGAATCTTTTTTCTTTAGACTTTTACCTTTTTTTTTCTTGAATCTTTCTTTCTTTTTCTTTTCTTTAATCATTCTTTTCTTTCTTTTTCTTTCTTTCTTTCTTGAATCTTTCTTTTTTTTTCTTGGATCTTTTTTTTCTCTTGACCTTTCTTTTTAGACTTTACCTTTCTTTCTTGAATCTTTTTCTTTTCTTTTTTTCTTTACCATCTTTCTTTAGACTTACCTTTCTTTCTCTTTCTTTCTTTCTTTCTTTTTCTTTCTTTTTCTTTGAATTTTATTTCTTTTTTTTTTGAATCTTCTTTTTCTTTACCATTTGCTTTTAGACGATCTTTCTTTCTTTTGGATCTTTCTTTTTTCTTTCTTTCTTTTTTCCATCTTCTTTTTCTTTTACCGAATCTTTTCTTTCTTTTGAATTTTCTTTTTCTTTCTTTCTTTTTCTCTTGGATCTTTCTTTCTTTTTTTTTCTTTCTTTTTTCTTTTTTCTTTCTTTTTTTTTTCTTTCTTTCTTTTTTCTTTCTTTCTTTTCTTGAATCTTTCT